CAGTTCCTCCAGGCACCTCCATTTTAAGGAAGGCACCCAGGCCAGCCATGCTTTCATTCCTCACTGAGCTCCACTCCTGGCTATCCAGACTTTCTCTACTGTCTGTCCCTCCTCCCAATCCCCTCCTTTTTAGTTTCTTTACATGTATTGTCTTCCATTAGCCTGTAATCTTCTTGAGGGCAAGGAATATCTTTCTTTCTGCTTATATTTGTATCCCTGGGGTCTACAGGTATTCAGAGAAGACTAGTACCTCTGGTGTGAGGGCTGCTTTCCACTTTTGGTGTTTACCTGCCACTCAGTTCTCACCTGTGGCTCCAAAAAGCTGTAGCATGTGTAGCAGCCACATCCTGGTAAACAGTTTCAGCAGATGGGCTAAACCAGGTTGAGGGTAACTGAGGGGGCTTAAATCCCTTGGTGATTTAGTGGAGAGTCTAACCCTAACCCTAAGCCAGACATGTGAAGACTTCCCCGAGTGGAATGGTCAGATGAGAACAATTTGTTCCAACGGCCATGAAGGTGGCTGCAGCAGGTGCTGTGGAGCACTTAGAGCTTGGTGAGACACTGAAGATGCCAAGGTCATCTGCTGAATTTTAGGCCATCACCAGTCATCTTGACTCTTGCCTTGCTACTGGACTTCAAAAGAGAGAGTGAGGCTGACAACTTTGCACAACTTTGCCTCCTTAAATCCAGTTATGTGCAAGTCAAAAGACATTGCCCATGCCATTTTACCATTTTTACCTTCCTCAAAGTCCTGTGGTGATAGGCAAGTGACGAATCAGCAGGTGGGGATACACTGGGAGTATAGTCACACCCTGCACACAGGAGGCCGAGGGCATAGAGTCTTCTTCTCACTGGATTGAAGCAGCATTGGGATTCAGCAGCCCCCTGGGTATCTGAGCAGCCTTTTTTAAGGACCACGCTGCTAACCTCCTGGCATGAGGAAGGGGCTAGAAAAGGTGCCCTAAAAATTGTCTGCTTCCCCTAACCTAGCTCTGGTCTGCTTAATGTGGGAGTTGGCTATTGTGGGAAATGATTAACTTAGACCCTATTTTATTTAGACCTCTAGCTTATTTTCAATCACTATTATTCAGTTTGACATGATTCCATAGGGATAGTGAGTATTTCTGTTATACTTATCCATAAATATACATTTAGTCAGTATAATCAAATAGTATTAATACATATTTCTGTATCTTTATGTGAGGATTAGATAAGATGAGATAGATAGATTCTTTCTTATAATAGGCCCTAAAACTTTATAAGATCTTAAGTTCAATTGCTTGTTATAAAATTCACTTCCTTAATCATAGGCAGATAACTAGAGAACCTCTATGCTGAGTAGGAAACCAAGCCCAATATGGTAGAAATGACTCAATGATATGGAAAGTCCCCCAGTAATTTTTGATTGTCCCTCCACTTTATTCCTTTGCTGAGTAGACAGGCCTATGGGCACATGGCCAACAGGCTTGTGAACACTTGACCAACGGGTGACCCTGTCTTCAAGTTGCCAGAGCTGCTTACAACCCTCTATTGCCAACATGGGGCCAGTGAATTGCTGTCAGTTCTGCCCATTTTTGGAATCCTCTGCTGGTCATTGATTGTAGGCATAAACTGAAGGTTCTCCTGGAAGGTCAAGATATAGGTCTATCAACCAATGAGACTCTGTCTTTTACTTTGCCTTATCTGTATCTTCTGGGTATCAAGCATTATAAAACTGAAGCGCTGAAAGAAGGAGGCATCTCAGATGGTGAGGAAGATCTGAGATCCTGTTCATTAAGTTGAGGTTGCTGGATGGGAGGGTAGGTCCCTTTAATAAATGGTTATCATAAGTTTCTTTTATTGTAGATTGGGCATTTTTGACCCAATCAAAACACAAGAAAAGCGCAAAAAACTTTTTCAAAGACAATTCCATTCTCCATTGGTACATGGAATGTGCACACATTTATGGACAACAGGAAATCCAGTAGACCTGAAAAACAAACAGCTCTTGTTGTGAGAGAACTCGGCAGATATTGCCTCCAAATAGAAGTCCTGAGTGACACAGGGCTGGCAAATGAAGGCCAGTTTACCAAAGTCAGAGGTGGATACACATTTTTCTGAAGTGGCCTCAGTGATTGAGAGAGCAGTGAAGCTGGTATAGGTTTCACAATCAAAACTAGTCCAGTTGACAAGCTTGTATGGTATGCAACTTTTTGTTCACAAATAATGGTGCATTCAGTGCAGCCTCTGAGACCAAGATGCAACAAAGTATAGATTGATTCTCTGCTGTTTGTGCTAATTTTGGCCTAACAATTAACACCAAGAAAACAGAGGTCCTCTACCAGTCAGCATCACACCATCCATATGTGGAACCATTGGTTACAGCAAATGGAGAAATTTCAAATGCTGTGAAAAGTTCACTTACCTTGGCAATATACTTTCAAGAGATGTACATATAGATGATGAGGCTGATGGATGCATTGCCAGAGCTGGCTGTGTGTTTGGGAAGCTTCAAAGGAAAGTATGGGAGAGAAGAGGTATTAGACTGCCTACCAAACTGAAATGCTACAGAGCCGTTGTGCTGACCTCATTGTTGTATGCCTGTGAAACCTGGACAGTATACCAGCGCCATGCCAGGAAACTGAATCACTTTCATTTGAATTGTCTTAGAAAAATGCTGAAGATCACCTGGCAAGATAAGGTACCAGACACTGAGGTCTTCTTTCAAGCTGAACTGCCAAGCATTTAAACTCTACTGCAGTGCGACTCCAATGAGCTGGCCACGTTGTTTGAATGCCAAATGCACATTTGCCTAAAAGACTATTTTACAGAGAATTCACACAAGGCAAACGCTCACGTGGAGGTCAGAAGAAACGAAATTAGAACACTGTCAAGGTCTGTTCGAAGAACTTTGGAATCTGTGGGAGGCACTGGCAGAGTGTCTCCAGACCCAGCATGTTATGCCCAAATCAAAGAAGGCTCTGCGAGCAAAGTGGAATTACTAGTGCCCTGCTGAAATTTGTCTGTGATATTTTCCAAATCTAATATCTGTCAAAAAAAAAATGAAACCATCCAGAATTATTTGTTCTTAGTGAACCTATACTGGCTCATGGTAATTACTGGTTTTCTTTCTAAGGATCCACAAACCATCCCTTTAAAAATTTTGTCAAGAATAAACTTGCTAGCTTAAAATTTGAGAATCTGCCTTCTTCCATTCTTTTTTTTTTTTTAAATTAGAACATTTGAATGTCTCCAATAATACTTCCTCCTACCTGACTCTGCTTAACTACCGTTGGTAATTTTTTAATTGCATATGCAAGTTCTTTCAGGATTCTGGGATAGAGTTCACCCTGGCAAAGTGCTTGACCATAATTGAGAGCAGCTATAATCTGTCTTACCACTTTATCTCTTGACTTTTATTTCAATTCCCTGTTAGCCATATTTGTTTGACTTTTCCCGGTCCGAAGGTCGTTCTTGGTAGAGAAAAAGCAAACAAAATGAATTGGGTAGTTTTGCCTTCTTTCAACCTTTATCATTGTCACATCCACCTTGAGGAGTGGTTCCCTGCCTGCCTTCTTCCTATTGCTTTCATCTTAGTTTTTAAAACCCTATTTTGCTGTCATTATTTTTTATTGCAAGTCCCGGCCCTTTCAAGGCTGTAGTTTTCTTGGCATTCTTACAGAGTCAGGATACATTTTTGTATTTCGCCTCAGTTACTTTGCTCATTTGCTTTTCCAGATTCAGAGTTTATCAGTGATGTCTCTCTATAACCATTTATTTGGTCTCTTGTTAACATATTTTTCTTACTCATGAGGATAATTTATGTTCACCAGCAGAATTCATTCTTGAGAAGTCCCTGCCTTCTTCTCCCCTTTTCCTTCAATCCTTTGTTAACCTACTCTTCCTTAAGAATTTCAGGCCTTGGAATCCTATCTAACCTTTCCCTGAACCCTATGAAATGTGTTCTTGTAGAAATGATGAGCAGGCAGATTTCAAAAAAACCTGGACTTATGCTGAATGAAGTGAGAAGAACCTGGAGAACATTGTACACAGTAACAGCAACATTGTGTGATGATTAACTTTGATAGACTTAGCTCTGATATAAGACAATTTCAAAAGAATTATGGTGGAAAATGCTATCCATATCCAGAGAAAGAAGTGGAGTCTGAATGCAGATTAAAGCATACTATTTTCTCTTATGGCTTTTCCTTTTTGTTCTGATTCTTCTTCACAACGTGGCTAATGTAGAAATGTGTTTAATATGATTGTACATGTAAAGCCTATATCAGATTGCTTGCTGTCTTAGGGAGGAAGAAGAGAGAGGGAGAAAAAAAACTTGGAACTCAAAATCTTATAAAAGTAAATGTTGAAAACTATCTTTACATGTAATTGGGAAAAAATAAAATACTATTAAGTGGGGAAGGAAAGAAATATGTTCTTGTAAAATTAAAGGAAATGACAGTTAAAGGGCAGTATTCCCATGTGTTATCCTGTGCTAAGATGGCAGAATCATTTCCTCCCAAGATCCCCATAATTTCACCAACCAGCTTTTAATCCAGACCAGGAGACTTAATTAACCACTTTTTACAGAGGAGGAAACTGAGGTTCAGAGGGATGAAGCAGCATATCCAAGATTACACAAAGCTAGTAATTGGAAGAGCCAGGACTCCATCCCCTATCTTAGGATTCCAAGTCCAACTCTCTGTCTACTACTCCACAGAATAGTGTGATATTTGAGCCTTTACTGCTTAGGCCTAGGAAAGGGTTTTCCACTCTCCAATTCACAAAATACACAAAATTCTCTACTGATAGTTTTAGGAAAACTAGATTTAAAGGTAGTGGAAAGAAGGCTTGCTTCTAAGGGTCCCTTTTCAGCTCTCTTGGTATATGGCAGAACTTGATTACCCAGTTCCAAAACTGGGATCCGACCTTGAATTTCAGGTCCTCCACTCCAGATATTTGAGAGCCCTGATTCTGACGGCCCGAGAGATGGATCATGGCCTTTTCTTCTTCTCTGCTAGGACGTAACCCCACTGCAGGTGGTCCTGCCCAATACAGCACTGCACCTTAAGGCCTTACTTGACTTTGAAGATGAGAATGGGGACAGAAGAATTGCAGGAGATGAGTGGCTGTTTGAAGGGCCTGGTAAGTCATTTGTCTCCCTAATAGTCATTGACTATATAAAACAGGGGTGGGGAACCTGCGGCCCCAAGGCCACATGTGGCTTTCTAAGTCCTCAAATGCGGCTTTGACTGAGTCTAAGTTTTATAGAACAAATCCTTTGATTAAGGGGATTTGTTCTGTGAAGTTTGGATTTAGTTAAAAGGCCACATTTGAGGACCTGGAGGGCCATATATGGCCTCAAGGTCACAGGTTCCCCGCCCCTGATATAGGACTTGACCCTATTTTGGAGGTTTCACCCAGGGTGAGGTAGAAAGGATCCCTGATCACTTGCCTCTCCTGACCTTCCCTGTTCTCTCCCTTTCTTTATTTTGTCAGTCATGAAACAAATCCCAAAATCTGAAATAGTTTTAGAAAGAAATTTATTAGGTCATTTGGTAGAAAAGAGAGAGAAATCATGAGCAAGCAGGAAAGGGTGTGGCTCCCCATCCTCCAGGGTCTGAAAGGTTTACTTTCTGTAGGATCTAGGGCCTGAGAGGAACTCAAAATTCCTCGTAGCCACCTCTGGCAATCCTGGAAAATTATTGAGGTCAGGGTGACATGCTGGGTTCAAACAGTCTCTAGTCACATCAAGTTAAATTTAAATAGTATGATGTTTTCCAGACAGTATAATAAAGCATTTTCCACACTTTCCATGCCAACCTCCCAGGCACTTACATTCCCCAGAAGGAGGTAGAAGTGGTGGAGACGATCCAGGCCACGGTGATCCGACACAACCAGGCTCTTCGACTCCGGGCCCGAAAGGAATGTCAGGATCGGGATGGCAAACAGAGGGTGACAGGTAAGGGGGAGAGCAGGGCCAAAGGCCGGTGAATTGGGGAGGAAGCAGGGAGAAAAGAATGATCTGGAGTGGGGAGAACAAAGATAAGGGTAGATGTGTTTATAAAGGAAGGGTGGGGGGTAAGGAAGAAGGTTAGAGAAAACCATGGACCTCAAGAGCCCACTTCTCTCAAAGAAGCCTCAGGAGCTTGACAGAGGCCCTAAATGGAGAAACAGTTGTTTAAAGTTTTAAAAAGAAAAAAAAAAGGCAAAGTGTCTGAAGGAGACTAGAAGAAATATACTGACAGTTTTGAAGTCTCCTTTTTTTTTTTTTTTTTTAATTTTGCTAGGAAAGGGGTTAAGTGACTTGCACAGCTAGTGAGTGTCAAGTGTTTAAGGCTGGATTTGAGGTCAGGTCCTGCTGACTCCAGGGTTGGTGCCCTATTCACTGTGCCACCTAGTTGCCCTTGAAATCTCCATTTCAAAGGGATTTATTCTCCTAAGGTTCAAGATCAGCCTTAAAAAAAAAATCAACTTTGCTGAGGTCAGGAGGCAAGAGAAATAATTGATAAGGAGCAGAGAATTTTCAGCTGGAACCTTCTGTCAAGTTTTTGAGACTAGAGACAAGTAGCATCTCAGTCCTTGCACCAAATCTGTCTGTTATGGGGAGGGGCATTCATGACCAGTACCCAGTGAGATGGTCTTTTCAGGGCTTTGCCAAGTTTCTAAACCTTTAACATGACTTCTTGTCCTCCTTGGTTAGGAGAAGAATGGTTGGTACGCTCAGTGGGAGCTTACCTCCCAGGCGTGTTTGAGGAAGTTCTGGACATGGTCAACGCTGTGGTCCTCACAGACAAGGTACATAAGCTCTGGGGGAGTGGGAGGGACCCCACAAAGACTAAAGGAAACTGGGTGGGGAGTCTACCCCCAGCAGTGTGATTTTGGGGGGATAGGTAAGGGAGTGTCAAGGAAGGTAATGAGTAGTTATCATTCCTAGTTCACTGAATGATGGGAGTTCAACCCTCTCTTTTCAAGAATCTCTAGACCAATGGTTCTTAATCCTGGGGTCTCTAAATTTTTTTTTAATTTTGGTAACTATATTTCAATAGTCTTTGTAATTTCCTTTGTAATCTTATACGTTTTATTTTATGAATTTAAAAACTCTATTCTAAGAAGGGGTCCACGGGCTTTACCAGGCTCCCAGAGGGGTGTATGGCACAAAGAATAAGTTAGCTTCATTCTAACCTGACTGGCAGGTGTTGAGGAGTCACCCTGGAATTAGGATAAATGGAAAACCTTTTTTATATCAGCATAGCTTTCCTAAGCCCCTTGGATCAGGGAGTAAGTGGTCAGGGGTAAAGGGTCAGAGATGATATCAGGGTCAAGAAGGATAAGAAAGGACCAGTTGAGGAGTTGATGGTCAGAATCAAATGAGGTAACATGCAAAGCGCTAGCAAACCTTAGCTATTATAAATGGCAGCTCTGTTGTTATTACTGTCATGGTCACTGAGTGGGAGCTTGTATCTTTTTTATTTTTTTAGAGGCCAAAGGTCCTTCTAGCTTCCATGTCTCTTCTCCACAGATAGCCCTGCACCTCCGGGCCCTGCAGAACTTCCGGGATGTGAGAGGCCTGTTCCGCCACACAGGAGAAGAGTGGCTGGTCACCCAGGCAGACACAGAAGCCCACGTGCCTGACGTTTATGAGGAGGTGCTGGGAATTGTGAACATCACCACCCTGGGTCCTCGGAACTACTGCGTGATCCTGGACCCAGTGGGACTGGATGGCAAAAACCAGCTGGGACTCAAACGCGTGGTGAAGGTGAAGGGGCCAGCAGGGTCGGGCATGTACAGGAGGTGTGAACAGGTCAGGAAGAGTTGTTCATTCCCTGACTCTGTGTCTTGTCCTGACAGGGGGAGAAATCCTTCTTCCTTCATCCTGGAGAGAGTTTAGAGGAAGGAATCCAGGAGGTGTTTGTGCTGTCAGAGGAAGAAGGGCTGCTCCTGAGGGCGCTCCAGCCCCTGGAGGAAGGAGATGATGGGGAGAGTGGTGAGAAAAGGCGGGCCGGAGACCGCTGGCTGATTCGGGGACCCCTGGAATACGTCCCCCCCGCCAAAGTAGAAGTCATAGAGCGGCGACAGGCCATCCCTCTGGATGAGAATGAGGGCATCTATGTGAGAGATGTCAAAACTGGCAAGGTGAGCCTGGAACCCAGGTAGGACTCACTTCTAAACTCAGATCTGCAACTGAAAAATAAGAATAATAGCTAGAATTTAAGGTTCATGAATCTCTCTACTTATGCTGTCTCATTTGATCCTGACAACAACCTGGGACGAAGGTGTTATGATTGTCTCCATTTTGCAGATGAGGGAACTGAGGCAGAGATTTGAATGACTTACTCAGGTCACAGAGCTAATAAGTGTCTGAGGCTGGATTTGAACGAAGATCTTTCTGACTCCAAGTCTGGCACTCTCCCCATTGTGCTGCCTTGATTGATCTGAAACTGCCTCAGTTGCCTGAATTAAAACTTCAGCCTGCTGCAGAATTGTACGTGGAGCTATAGAACCCCACACCTACCTGGAGGCTCCTATGGAAACACTTTATCTCCCTTTTCTGACGTCTTACCTCACTTCTTCACGAAAGCCCTCATTTTTTAGATGAAGAAACAGAAGCCCCAAATGGAAAGGTTACCTTCCCTCAGTCAGTCAGTAAGTCAGATGGCTAATAAGTGACAAAACTCCAATCTAATCCAGTAAGCATTGATTAAGCACCTACTGTGTACCAGGCACTGTGCTAAACTCTAGGGATTTAAAGAGAGGCAACGGTCCTGGCCCTTAGGAATCTCACAATCAAATGAGGGTGACAACATGCATACAGCTGTGTACAAACAAGCTGTGTAGGGTTAAACAAGAAGCAATCAACAGAGGGAAGGCAGTGCAAGTAAAAAGGATCGGGAATTGGGCAATACAGGGCTTCCTGCAGGTGGGATTTTAGCTGGGACTTGAAGGAAGCCAAGAGGCAGAAATGAGGAGCAAGAGCATTCCACATAGGAGGGGGAGAGCCAGAGAAAAGCTTGAGCCCAGAGCAAAGCAAATCGAAAGGCCCAACCAGTGGCCTTCTCACCAAATAATTCTGCCAGACCTTGTCCTAATTTTTTTTTTCTGGTTTCTAATACTAACCAGGGTAAGGTATATGAATATAAACAGCACAGTCCCAGGCTGGTAGTCAAACTCTGACCCAGGTTTCCCATGTCTTTGTCTTATGATCCTCTCCACACCTAAAACACCATATCTGTCTCCCTAAGGTCCCAGAAGGGAAAATTGTGTCTTCTAAAAATCTCCCCACCTTTGTCCTGGTGCATCATTTATAAATTTGCATATTCCCTTTTGCCTTGGAAATAAACTCTGGGAAATCTGCTCCTGTGGTTGCCTGAGTAGGACTGATGAGGGTAGGAAAAAGAGGAATTACCTACAAGACTAAAAGAGAACTAGTCCTAGTGACTAAGAAGATGGTACTAAAGGAGATCTTGATGCCTGAGGGGAGGGCTCAGTCCCTTTTATCAGTGGTTCATTGATCTGGGAAGGTTTTGAAAGTAAAAGGTGTTTGGGGGGAGGGGAGAGATGGGGGGAATTTGGAACAGAAAATCTTATGGAAGTGAATATTGAAAACTAAAAATAAATAAATTTATTAAAATTTTTTTAAAAAGAAAGTAAAAGTTTTCAGAAATCCTAGTGCTTAAGGCAAAAGTCCTCTAGAGCTTGGCTTAAAGAAAGAGCTGGAATCCCTTAGAAGTTGGCTCAGATCAGCCAGGCCTAAGATTAAAGTTTGTATTTTTCCAGACATGCTCACGAACAGGTGTGACATAAAATAATCCATAGTGATGTGTGATGGTGGACACCGTGGCGCCGGTCCCTGCCTCGGGGGAGGCTGAAGCTTTCTTATTGCTTGAGTTTGGAAGTTCTGAGTTGTACCAGGGCTAAAGTTGATCAGGTGTTGACCCTAAGTTCCAAAGCAACACTGTGAGCCCGCAAAGAGTCAGGGGCCATTGGCTTAAACTATGGGCTACTTAAGGAGAGGCAAACTGACCCTTGGAAAAATCAAGCAGAACAAAGTTTCCATTCAGTGGTGGAGTCAGACCCTGAGTGG